AATTGCCCAAAATCATACAAATCCGTATACTGTCCTGAAAACATAATAAATTTAAACACTGCGGCCTCTGAAGCAACGCGTAAATGACGATTACATACAAGTACACAAGCGCGTATATATGCCATGGAAACCGGATAGCTATCAAAATATCAAATAACCTTTCAACGCAAATGATAGACTGAGTAAATTCTGTAAAGTCACAAGTTAGTCAAGAAGACCTTATGTGAACCACGAAACAGTCGGTTAGCCGGATAACGATTCCACTTATTCACGTAAGCACTTTTAGCTGAAGGGTACCCTCAGCAGTAAAGCCAAAACGAAAGGGTGTGAGGATATAGTTGACATTTATCCACCAGAACAGCATATACTTTCTATTGCCATATAACTGCTGGAGAGGAAACACTGTTTGCATGTAGCTCAACATAACGGCTGAATCGTACCGAAAGATGTACAACTACCACCAGAGTCGACGCACAAAGTTCGATATTAGCAATTATGGCAATGGCCTCAGAACGAAAACAGCGCAGTCAAGCACATAGAAGCTTCGATACATATCGCCTTCGCATAGGTACGGAAGTCGGGTCCATTTTTCGACGGCAAACAGCGATGGCTTCAGAACCACATCTACGAAGCTGGCTACCTGATCCTCGAACGTTGATCCGTGAACCGCCAATTTCTGCAAAGGAACGTGGCTCTGAGTTTCCGAGAACTCGACGTACTGCTCCCACGGAAGCACGGCAGACAACAACACTGTGCTGTTGTCTTGGAGAGCCTTGCTGCGAATCGACTCCAGTAATAACAAAGGCCTCGGGTGTCGGTCGAGCAGGTTCAAACAACTGATGACGTCAAAATGATATACGTCCAACAACCACTCGTCGATGCCGATCAGTCTGAAACCTTTTTCAGCCAAGCGCAATCGCATTGTTCGTGAAGCTTCCGTCACGTACAACTCATTGCACAAAGCGGCTATTTTCAAAGATACGTTACCATCTCCGGCGCCCAGATCCAAAGCGGCTCGGTACTTCGGTGTCGCACTGGCAACGCCCAGCAGAAGAGACAGCTGTTCGCCGGAGAAGAGAAACATACTACCCCGCCTGAGCCAACCGTTGATACACGTCTTCTTCATGAACATGGTCAAAATCAGCATACAACAATTATACCACAGTTGCAACAGCACTGAATCCGTCACCTCCTTACACCGGTCAAGAAACTGCTCGGTTTCAGCGTCGTAAAACGATTGAACGAAAAACGACGCCATCGACAAGTTAGCGAGTTTCGTCAGATCCACCGAATACCACGTTCTTGTATCAAAATCTCTGAAACTCCTGTCGAAGCTTCCCTTCTTCAGCAGCGCCGCTACCAGCTGATTTCGACCATGAAAAAAAGTCATTGCTATAAAAGCTTGCGAAAATTAGCGACAAGTAGTATCATTATTGGCATACAGAAAGCAATAGAGTTAAGCCAATTACAAAAATATTTCTGTTACATGCTTCAAGCTGAAGCACAATTAGTTTCTCCTCGAACTCCTCATCCCCACCAAACCTTGAGGTTTGCAGTTCCATCAATAAGGCAAGGTATTCAAAACTCTTAAATACAACGACTTTGACTATCAGATGTCGCCAAGGATTATGACACTACTCCTCTTCTTGTCACCATTTGGCATTGTTTTCTGTCCTAGGTAACCGTCGATCTGATAACTGGAGAATTATTTCGCAATCAGAGTTCGCAACTGACTCAGTGACTCAGTCATCACTACGTCGATGCAGTAAATGAACAGTATCGGTCAGGTGACCGAACCTTACAGTACTCCACTATCAATCAAAAAGCTGTCTGAAACCGAAACATTTGAGGACAGAAAAGGGTTTCGGCTTACATAAAACTCTGGAGTTAATCAGACACGTTAACGGAATTAAAAAAGTACTAAAGTTTTATATTATAAATCAGTCTGTAAATCACTATTTTAATAATTTCAGTAACAGTAGTTACTGTCAGCACGAGGTGGCACCGCGATATCAAAAACAAACTGAATACGTGGTATAGTAAACTACCATGCAAACATCGGCACTAGTAGCATTAACACTCAGCTCTGCTTTAGTCACAATGGTTCAGGTTAGTTCACGCACAACGCCACTGACTATTCCAATTCGCCGGTCGATCTCTTCCTCCAATTTTCCATCACTAGTAAATACAATTCCGAGGTATTTGAACTTCTCCACCTATTCCACTGCCTCTCCGTTAATCGGAAGAGAGCAACGGGCAGGAGAACGAGGAAGCACTAGGCTTTTCGTTTTAGATGCATTCACACGCATGCCAGTTACGTCGCACTCGGCTGCGCACCTTTCCAGACAGCGCTGCGGATCACTTTCAGAAGACATCAATAAAACAAGGTCGTCTGTAAATTTTTCATCGCTCTTTCTCGGCTGCTCCTCAGTTTCCTATCAATGTGCAAGACAAACAGCAGATCGGACAGAACGCAGCCATGAGGGAGAGCAATGCCAACGCAGAAATCTCTTGATCATTTACTCAATCGCAACACCTGCTATCAAAATACATGGTATGGATGACTAGTTGTAATTTGCAATCGATATCGTATGTCTCCAGGCAAGCACTATAGCTCGCTGCG